TTAAAATGTATTATTTTTTATCACATAAAATTATTCTGTTTTAGTGCAACATCACCGTGGATATCCACCCCCCACCACAAGCCCGCCCATCACCATAGATGACTGAAAATAAGTAAATAATATAATATATAATTATTTTATAAAAAATAAAGTGTTAGAAATGCTATTTTGCGTTTAATTTATAAGAATCTTTTATTACTAGTTGAAATAGTTCAGTGGGAGAGCGTTAGACTGAAGATCTTGAGGTCCTGAGTTCAAATCTCAGTCTCAACATTTTTTTTGTTTCACTTTAATTTATGTATGTCTGTTATAATACTAACTAAAAAATCATAATAATAAAAATTTCAATTAGTTGACTTCTCTACACAAATGTTACAGCATCATATCGCCCTTTGCGGTTTTCTTATCACACATCCGCTGCTCTGCTGTACATTAATATAAATTATTATTTGTTCAAGTATAAAAACTGTCGAGTCATCCCGGCTTCAGACAAAAAATTCACAACCAGAAGGGCACTACGTACAGGGTTTCCACCCATACCACGTGATAGCCCATATGTAACATCGAATCAAAACTTCTTTCAAATTTTAGCTCTCCAACGGGTCTCGAGTTATAAGCGAAAAATAGAAAATCCACACTACTGCGCATGTTTTTTTATCCAATCCCTGGCGGCCATGTTTTTTCTCTAAGCCCCAGCGATCATGTTTTTTTCTCATATGCCAATCCCCACTACGCATCTTTTTTCTCTAATCCCCGGCGGCCATGTTTTTTTCTCTAAGCCCCGGCGTTCATGTTTTTTTCTCATATGCCAATCCCCACTGCGCATCTTTTTTTCTCTAATCCCCGGCGGCCATGTTTTTTCTTTCACAATCAAACTCGAGTGCCCTTCTGGTCGGTCTGACGTCATAGCTCTACAACAACCACCCATCAACCTCAATGACCAGGAGCTGAAGACTTCTTCACCGACGACAATGACCATAAGCTCTTCAAGGACCACCTCAATTCTTGGACGCTCTCGATGGACACATGCCATCCCAGGCAAAATATAAGACGCCAAGTTGGTAGGTGGTCCCGCATTCCCTTTGCTTATCTACTGTAATATTTTTTTTATAAAATTCAGGGAGTGGCTACACCCTTAGTGCGGCCCGGAAAATGATTTGGTGCTATAGGTGTATTGTATTATGATACTTTTAATATATCTACATCAAGAAATTCAACTGACAACTGTAAACAACGAAATAATAACTTTTTATTAAATTCAGGAGGTGACTGCACCCTTAGTACGGCCCTGAAAATAATTTGATACCGTAGGTATATGTATTATGATACTTTTAACATGCCTACTAGTGCAGTCTGCCTGTTTTTGGCCCCATGTTAATTTTTCACTTCGGAGATACAGTCAACAAAAAATATGTAAAAAATCGGAAATTTTCCGTAGAATTCAATAAACCAAAATACAGACAACTGGCACCTCGGGGGCCCATAGTAAATTGGGCCCAAAGTTGGCCAAAAACGGTTTTTTCCATTTTACTCTGTCATGGTGCCATAAAATGAAAAAAGTTTTATACAAAAGTTGTAGAACTATTAAATATGGATCGATCTGTGGAAATCCGATGTCAAGAAATTCAAAAATAAATTATTTATTTGAAATAAACCGATAAAAATCGCGTTTTTTTTGAAACGCTCATATCTTCGTGAAAACAAATAATTTTTTCACGAAACTTGGTAAAAGTGTAGCTCCCTACTAACTAAAAAAAGATCGTTTTCAAAAAATTTAAAAATATTATAAACATTTTGCAAAAAATTGACTTTTTCGAAAAAAATCACGTTTTTTTAAAATCTCGATAGCTCATACACGCTTTCATATTTATAGTCAATTTTGAGCTTAAAATTTACTTGAAATGTTGTACTAACATGATTATTTATTGCGCGCTTTTTAAATTGATCGGTAATATGCGAAAAATCGGTTGAAAATCGATTTTTTTTTCAAGAAAAAAAAATTTTTTTTTCTCTTTTGTTAGCAGCATTCAATAGCTGGTATTTTTTTATAAATTTACAAAAAAAAAATTATCTACGACCCTTTGGAGCCGAGATATTTTTTTTTTGAAAAAAATCTAGTGACGCTATCTTTTACTATTAAGGGCTGAAATTTACAGAGTTTGTAGTTCAATACTTGTATTTTACATAAAAATATACTACAATGACATATTCGCTCTCTATTCTTTGGAAATTTAATGGCAAAAAAAAATTTTCTTGAAAAAAAATCGATTTTTTTGTTGTTAAAAAAAAACCGATTTTTCGCATATTACCGATCAATTTAAAAGCGCGCAATAAATAACCATGTTAGTACAACATTTCAAGCAAATTTTAAGCTCAAAATTGACTAGGAATATGAAAGCGTGTATGAGCTATCGAGATTTTAAAAAGACGTTATTTTTTCGAAAAAAATCAGTTTTTGTAAAATGTTTATAATATTTTTAAATTTTTTGAAAACGATCTTTTTTTAGTTAGTAGGGAGCTACACTTTTACCAAGTTTCGTGAAAAAATTATTTGTTTTCACAAAGATATGATCGTTTCAAAAAAAACGCGATTTTTAACGTTTTTTTTCAAATAAATAATTTATTTTTTGAATTTCTTGACATCGGATTTCCACAGATCGATCCATATTTTTAATAGTTCTACAACTTTTGTATAAAACTTTTTTTAATTTTATGGCACCATGACAGAGTAAAATGGAAAAAACCGTTTTTTGCCAACTTTGGGCTCAATTTACTATGGGCCCCCGAGGTGCCAGTTGTTTGTATTTTGGTTTATTAAATTCTACGGAAAATTTCCGATGCTTTGCATATTTCTGTTTACTGTATCTTCACTTAAGGGTCCAAATCCGTAGGCAGACCGCGCTATACATAAAAAACTCAATTGACAGTAAAAAACGAATTAACAATTTTTTATTAAATTCAAGGGGTGGCTGCACCCTTAGTACGGCCCGGAAAATGATTTGGTGCCATAGGTGTATTGTATTACAATACTTTTAACATGTTTGCATCAAAAAATTCAACTGACATCTGTAAACAACGAAGTAATAATTTTTTATCAAATTGAGGTGGTGGCTATGTTGTAGGACACGAGCATTAGCAGCCGATACGTAAGAAATCAAAATTTTTTTCGAAAAGAATTCATTTTTGCATAATATACACTTATAGCTTCGAAAACACTGGCAATTTTACAAAGAAACTCTACGAAAAAATTAATTTTTCAAAATTTAAAATATTTTTCAGGAAATTTTCAGTTCACCTGAAAATAGACTGTTTTTCAGTAATTCATATATATCAAATGTAAACAAACCCATTTTTAGATAGTCAAATTTCTCTGCACTTTCCAATTTTTCAAAATTCAAAATCTTATAACTCAGGTCGTGATGGATATTTTTCAAAAATCATTGCACAAAATTTTAGCTAATTTTTTATACCAAATTTACAGTATAGTCAGAACGACCGGTTCATTATCATGCCGCAGGCCCTAAGCACTTTCCATAGACCATGTATACTAAAACCGCATTCACCACCGCACCTCACCTCTTGGACTTAGGCGAGGATTTTAATTACTAAAATTAACTTAAACCATTAAACTAAAAGACCATTAAAAGATTTAATTAAATAGATCATTTTAAACCAGAGATATTAATTAAAACATTAAAAATAAATAAATTATTTCACTTTTATTGCAGTTCATACTAGATTTTCATACAATATAACAAATAACACACTGTAACTTCCTTATTAATTAACCGATTTTAATAAACTAAAAACAAAAATATTCCTTAAAATCCAAGCTGTCCAGAGGCATAAATACATTCAGTATAACTATTAACCACAGTTTCTAAAAAAGCGCGGGAAACGCATCTTGGTATGGGTTGAGCTAGGTCATACGGGGCCCAGTTTGCTCGAGCGCTCGGACAGAAAACGGCGCTCAGACTTCCGCCAGATCCGTATTACTCTGGCAAAACCGATTTTTCATTTTTGCCAAGTAGTAGTCTGGCTAGAACACATACAAAGCTACGAACTCACTTCGATCAATCATCACACTGTATTCAGGTCCAAACCTTTATACCACCGCAACTTTAACCAATCAGAATTTTTCAATTCTTTTGGCATTACAAGCTCGTCCCACACAGCCAGCCAACGCAAATTCTACAAAATTTCTCAAGTGCGAGATTTCACTACACAATCGGACGACCGCGAAACGACGTAAACCTCGAAATACGTTCAAAAGTTTCAAAGTTGCCTGTGTTTTCGTTGCGAAAAAGTAAAGAAATTCTACCGCGACGGGAATAATATTTATTAAACATAATTTCGCTAATAACCAAGTTCCTACAAGACCTTCCGACGCTGGAGGGGTAAGAGAACACATTCACTGACAGGGAAACTAGCATCAACGTTTTCAGAGACTTTCCAGGACTTTGCTGAGTATCTTCGCTCTGAATGATTTCAGTGCTCAAACAAACTGTATTTCAACTTTATTTCAGCTAGGTACAGCATACTTAGGCAGGCAGAACTTAATTTTTGCAGACATTGTTCATTTTATAAACATTTATTTACTGTGAATATACATTATAAATTATTCAAGGCATTGTTTAATTTAATTTTTCAGTAAAAGACATTTTTCAGAGATTTTTCAGTAACGTAAATTTTTCAGTCATTCATACTTAGGTTTGAAAATTTGTCTGTTGAATAATTTAACTGTTCAGATTTTTTAACTTAGCCACTTTTACCAATTCCAAACTGCATATACACTTTGACAAATTTTGAAACTTGAGTAAAATTTGTTTTCAAGTGGTCATTTTATTAGAATTTTTTAACTTTGAACATTTTAAAGTAAATTCAGTGTCAATAAACTGCCTTACAAAAACATTTTCAAGTGAACATTGATATAAACTTTTGACTTTTTAATACATTGTGCATTGTGTAACCTCTAAACGTGGTTTACCCCGAGTGGCTCACCCCATATCTCTTTCAGATAAAAACTATTTAGAAAGAATTCGATAAATGCTATCCCTCCAACTTGGGAGGAAATAAACTTGGTGTGTTTTAATACCTTTTTTCCATCCTTTAGCCACTCGGACCCACATATAAAACTAAAAAACGTTAGTGCATTCTCAACGAACAATTCTACGTCCTCCAAACTTACTCCGAACTTTCACCGAGGGACCTACCTTCGTCGTGGGATTTGCACCAGGGGCCTAGCCATAAGAGGTTAGAGCCATATAGGTAAC